ACATATATATGTCCGTGTGTTATTATTTTGGTAATTCTCTTTGCCAAGTATAACTGAATATAAATGAGTATGACTCATGTGTATTATTATTTTGGTACTTTTTTTTTCCAGGTATTACTATGAATAACTGTGAGACTTCTTTTGTATGTTGTCTCTGTTTTGTATGACTATGTATGACTGTGTTGATTATTTTGTATGTTCTTTCTCTTTACGTTTTGTTTCCATACTATGTTTATGTATCTATTATTGTGTCTGCTTGATACTTAGGTAGCACTGGAAACTAGGGGTGGAATTATTATCCGGGATCCGAGATCCGATCCGTTATCCGTTCGGAATCGCTCAGAAAATTAGGATATCCAGGGAGTCCGGATCCGGATAAGGATAATAAAATTTAGGATCCGTGAAAAGAGGATCCAGATCCGGATAGCAAAATTTTAAGGTCTGGATATTCGGATCCGGACGCATTAAATATATTAGAAACATATAAATTACATATCTATTAAACTAATTATATATAAATAAATATATATAAAAATTTATTTTAGTTCTTTTTGTAATAAATTATATTTATAATAAAAACACCATTTAAATATTAATTAATAATTTTTAAAAATATATTTTTATTTATTTATTAATTATTTTAATTATTTTTAATATTAATTTCGGATCCGGATCTGGATATCCGCGGATATCCTGATTTTTGGGCGGATATCTAGAGCCCGAATATCTGGAGGCCACGAATCCGGATCCAGTAGTTTTTCCACGGATCCGACGATTCTGGATCCGGATCCGGATATCCTGAAATTCCAGGATATCCGGAATCGTCCCACCCGTACTGGAAACATATGAATAGAAATATAGAATTTAGAGCAAAACATATTTTTTTTACAAAAACTATACCTTATACATATGGTTAATGTATGAGTTACTAGCCTCATTGTCATGTGAAACAAACAAAAATGGTGTTGTCAAACATTTTAGTATACAAAAAGATAGTAAATATATAAAAATGGATTCATTGGATCAATACTACTAGAAATTTTTTAATTTTATGTAAGTACTACTGATTATACGTAAAAACTATCAAAGTATAATTATGTGAAAAATTATACTACTAGAAAACTAAATATGACTATTAGTAAAATTTTAATATTTTTTTATTCATTTGACGGCACATGTGTTAAATATGTTTATTTTTGTATTCTTATTTTTTTACACACATGTTTTATGCTTAATACATAGCAGTATCCACTAGTACCAAAACCAATTCAACACATAACAAGAGTTCAATATTACCTTTAATTATCCCATATACACATAAGTACCTAAATACACAACAAAAACATTCACAGACTCTTGTTCTACAAACTCAAAATCCTATAACACAAAAAAAAAAAAAAACTCTCATTTATTCTTCAAACTCGTACTAGAAGGATTGAATATTTTTTTAACAAACATCATTCATTCTTCCTCTTTGGAATAAACTATTTTTGTAGTAAGACGATGTAGCATATCAAAACGAAAGAAGAAGAGAGATCATCCCTCTTCTCTTACAAATATCCCCAATCTATGTCTTGGATTTTGATATAGTTAGCTACATGGTATTCCACCATCGGATGGTTAGCTTTCCTTTTAGCTAGACTAAAGCCATACTTATCAATCCGTCATCATTTTTTCCTTTTGTCGAATCTTTTTGTGGACCTAATCAAAAAACAAATTTTTTTTAGTCCATGTACCAAGAACAAGTCCATGCAGCTATATCTCTACACTTTCTAACCACATAATTTGAAATTCTGGTTTTGCATACAAATACAGATCAATAACAAGTTCATGCAGCTATGTCTCTAGAAATTCAACCACAAAATTTCGAATAAAAATGTATTAGTAGCTATATCTATAGAAATTCAACCACATGTTTCGAATACAACTACGCTTGCATAAGGTTCAAGAAGAAATTCCCGCAGCTATGTCTA